TATGTAAGGTAAAATGGGGAATGGAATTCACAGAACTGTGTAAATTAGTCTTCACGGACAAGAAGTAAGTACACTTCCATTTTGTGTGTGTGTGTGTGTGAAAATGTCTGTTCGCAGAAAAATAGAGAGGCTAATAAGCTGTTATATGTACAGGAGTATATAAAACACAATTAGGTTATTATGAATAATGATAATAATAATAATTGAAAGGATAGATGTATGCATTTCAGGTTTTATTAGGACGACAGAAATTCAATACACAGGTGTCTGTTTGTATGTGTGAAGGTACACTCTTTCGTCTGAGGTTATTTCAGCTGTGGGTTGGTTAATTCCGTTGGCTGGTTGGTTGATGAGTAGAACAGTGTGAATTATCTGGGGGGTTTAACTTTGATCAAAAAAGTATCCTAGATAAAATGTGACTTAACTGACACGCACAGACACACACACACATATATACACCCACGAATACACAAAAAAGTAGATTCACTCAAAAACTTTTTAAAATTCCATTTTGATCATGTTTGATGACTATGTGTGTCAAATGAGTTTATTAAAAAATCTTTTTACTTGAATTTCTAAAACAACTGAAATGGATTATTTTTAGGGCTATAAATGAGGTATTAATAATTCAGGGATTAAACAGTTTGTTATTCTGTCTAATTTCAGAAAACACGATTCACACAATTTCATTTGATGACATTTGTCATATATCATCTGTTGACGAGGATATCATTATTCTATAAGCTTTAAAGATATGTATACATGAATGCGTCAGGCATGGAGCCCAGTGTAGGAAGTCATGGTCTAAAGTTTCACCAGTCAGTAAGATGTATCTTCACTACTGATGGAATTGATGTTCTGTCTAGGATTTGAATCTAAATCTAGTTTTTTTTTGTTCAGTTCAGACTGAATGCCTATCCGTCAAAATTTGCAATATAGCCACCAACAATTAAGTTAGGTGACTCGCCATCATATTGTACTCTGAATTGTCGATATTAGAGATGATTGAAGCCAATCAGCAAAAAGCCCTGGACCTAGGTTGTATCCTTGTCAGCAAAGCTTACCAGCAAACTTGTAAGTAAACCTAACAACTGATGAATTATTACTCATATCTAGATGATTTTTGGAAGCAATTGGCTACTTTGAATCGTATATTTTGGATAAGTTTGTCTGATAAGACATATAGTGAGATACTAATATTAACTGGATGAAGTTTTGAATACAAATAACTGTGACTTCTATTTACGCCAACGTATTTACACGAAAGCTGACGTCTTGAATACAGTCAGGCTTCTGAAAGCTGTAAAAGCAGCTGGACCAGACGGAATACTCCGCCCTGAAGCACTAAAAGCGGACCCAGAGACGACAGCAGATATGCTGACTACATTATTGCAAAAGGTCTGGAAGGAAGGAAAGGTGCCTACTGACTGGAGGAAAGGTTACCTCGTGAAACTACCAAAGAAGGAAGACTTACGCCTCACTCTGCAAGAACTGGCGAGGAATCATGCTTCTGTCGACGCCAAGTAATGTCCTGAGTCGCATCATCCTGGAGAGAATAAAGGATGCACTGGATACAGAACTCCGACCAGAACTAGTTGGATTCAGGAAAGTCAGGCAAATCATGTACTGACCAAATTGCAACTCTACGCATCATCATCAAAGAACAAAGCATGGAATGGCCATCAATCAAACCTCTACCTCAACTTTATAGACTTTGAGAAGGCCCTTGACAACGTTGACCGCAAAATAATTTTGAAACTACTCGAGTACTACGGCGTACGGTGCCCAAATATTCATCAGCCTTATTCAACAGCTGTACGACAACGTAACATGTCAAGTCATCCATAACGGAAAACTCAGCGAGAAGTTTGGAGTAAACACAGGAGTCAGACAAGGGTGCTAACTATCACCAAAGATACTCCTAATTGTGGTGGACTGGATTATGCGTCAGACTGTGGGAAACGAGAAGACAGGAATATGCTGGACCGACGTGAAGAACCTAGAAGACCTGGATTTCACGCGTGAATGATTTATGTTTGATGTCACTGTCACAAAATCGAAGACTTACAAGCGAAAACCGACAAACTGGTCGAAGAAGCAGCCAGTGAAGACAGGACTCCAGATGAACATAGACAAGACGGAGGTTATGAAATTAACCAACCAATAACAGCAACAACATCCAACGCCAATCACCATCAACGGGAGGGATTTGAAAGAGGTTACTTCATTCACTTATCTAGCATTGAGCATTGTCTCAACTACACGCAGTCCGAACAGACGAGGATGTCAAATCGAGCGATAATCAGGAAGGCGAGAAACACATTCATCAACCTGAAACCAATCTGGGAATCTTCGTCACTCAGCCAGCAACAACAACAAAATTAGGATCTTCAATACAAACATTAAGTCAGTTCTTCTATACGGATGACAAACTTGACCGGCGGATCACAAAGAATATTTACAACAGGCTTACTCAGACCTTTATCAACAACAAATGTCTTTGCTCTATACTGAAGATCAGATGGCCGGACCGGAAACAATCACCAACAAGAAACTATGGGAACAAACAAACAAGACAAGAACCAATTGCCGCCCAACAACTATGCAGGAGAAAGTGGAGATGACACATTGGACACTCGCTGGGTGACATCGCGCGTCAAGCCCTCGAGTGGAACCTGAAAGGGAAGCGACGTGTGGGACGTCAGTTCAAGGGTGACATGGAGGAGATCGTGTGAAGAGTTGAGGAGTTGAAACGGTATGGACTAACTAACATGGGTGCAGGTGAAAAGTACAGCAGAAGGAAGACAGAAGTGGCAAGTGGAGACGTGCAGTTGAAGCCCTATATTCCACTAGGAACCCAAGGGAACAATAATAATGATAATTGTAATAATATAATAATTCACACAACTTCATTACTTTTGGTGCAAAGAGGTTCATTTTGCTGAAGGTTCTGTAGCAACTTTGTTTACAGGGTGTGGTTGCTAGCCTCACGCCTGAGAAAAGAATGATTACATTAAGTAAAAGTTTAGAGAGAAGCAACTTTTTGGGTTGCTCCCCTCAAAATCAGAAAATAACGGACAAACAATGAGAACAACATCAACAAAGGAAACAGTTCACAGAAAAAAGGGCAAAAAGCGACGACAACTATAAAATAGGACAACATGTAATATAGTTCAGTACAGTTAACTAAAATGATATCTTAACCATAAACTCACTGACTTGGAGCAACTTGAACATATAAATCCAACAATATATACAATTATAGATGTGTTTATGTTTAAAAATTCCACATATCCAAACAGTGAGTTATGTGTATTATCTGTCAATAAGATTGTATTTTTTGGATTCAGTATTCGAAAGGTTAATAATTGTGATAATTTCCGCAAACACTTTGCATAAAATTTTAGAGTAATAAGAGATTTTATTTATGACCAAAATGTAGCGTAATAGTCGAAAAGCGCGCCCCAAACTTTATCTATAAAGTCTTATTGTAATTTCTTGTATATCCAGTGAATGCGTTGGGCCATTTTGAGTTTCATGTGTGTTCGATATTGATTCTGTGGATAAAAATCCGGCGATTAATCTATATAGAAGTAATTGGTTAGACTGATTTCGGTGTATGAGCTCCTCGGACAGTTATTGACTTTGATAAACAATTCAAACACAACTTGATTTTGGTGATGGTTAGCATCTGAGGTGGCATTTTCGATCTATCAATCTGATGCACAACACTTTGGTGCCTGAAATGATGGGTACTGGGTTCAAATTTCAGTAGGAACACACGTCTAGCTGAAGTCTAGCTCCAAGTGGAACGAAATGCGAGCTGTTGATTCCACCACTAGTTATTACCACACAAGTAATTTTTGAAATTTACTTTACCGTACAAACAGCAAAAAATATTTTCCAAGAGAGATGGACAGGTAATCAGAGATATTGACAGTGATTTAACCGAGATTAGTTGTTTATTTTTGGCCAGTAGTCAGATATCCACAAGAATCGGATTTCTGAAGAATCTTCGCTGTATAATAAATAATAATTGTTCAGCAGTTTTACACCATATCTTTGGGAATTTTGTTTCATGTCACCCTACAGATGGATACGTAAAAATCTTATTACACTTTTTAGTGTTTATTGGACGTATAAGATGAGATTGAATGGCTAGGCATTTCAACCAGAGATGTTATCACTGGGCTATTGAGACTTGCGTTTGACCTAACCCAATCAAAGGATTCAGAAATCATTATTATCGCAAAAGATAACTCTCGTGGTTGAGAATGATGCATCACATTGACAACGGTGTGACTGACGTCACTGGCAAAATCAAATGACCACAATTTACAAATGAGGAAAATGTTTAGGCGTCTGTTGGAGCTGTCTATACGCTTAAAGTGAGATAGGCTTCAAATCGTTTTTAGGAATAAGTTTCGCATAAATCAAATGTCAGAACACATAATTAGAAGACTTCATTATGAGCTGACATCAGTTAGAGAACCACTGGAAAAGCAGCTGGGAGTACTGGACAACTGTTTCGTCCCAATATGAGACTCTTCACGACAGGCATCCATCAGTTGGAATCCAGGAATTTCTGCTATTGGATCGGGTCCCAGTGGCTTAATGTTTCAGGAGCTCGCATTGTAACCAGAAGGTCCTGGTTTCAAACCCCGATGGGTGCGAAACGGTTATCCAGTACTCCCATTTTTTCCAGTGGTTTTTTAGATATTGACACCTGAATATGAAATCCTCCAACCTATCAAACAAAATCCCTACAAAATCAGTATACAATTAAAAGTTTTAAAGATGATACTGACTGTTAGAAATCATTATAATAAATGGAAATCCATTACAACTGCTCTTTTAAACAGCATCAGAATTAGCATTTTAGTTCAATACTGATGAGAAGACGGAGAATGCTATCCTTCTAATCGAAATATTTACAATCCGTTGAAATATTGTCTAATGTATCTGATCTGATAATTTCCTTTTTTTTTACCATTTTACAGACATGTGACTACGATAAGAAACACAGTCATCATTGGGAGTATGAAGAATCGAAATATGACCTACGAGAGAAGCATGGGCAATTCTTTCCACTTCACAACACCTCTACTACTACCACTAGTAGTCTTCACCAAAAATTGGAAATACTAGGAAAAAGTTTTACTGATAACCATCAAACTTCAGATAATGTAATGAGAACAAATGAAGCTACATCGTCATCGACTTCATCAACAATATCATCTTACTATCAGAATCATGTAGCCTATAGCCAATATCTGCCTAATAGTAATATCCTTAAACAGTCTAACCAAGAACATATCTCAAATTCATCCGTTTATTTCAAGCCTAATGAGTTAGGTTATTTTAAACAGACAGAATCATCAGAGAAGAATACACTTGTAAAATCAATATCCCAACGCATGTCCCCACCTTCATCATCAGTATCGTCGTGTGCACAAACAGAATGTCAGGTGGACAGTAACAAATCTGATAAAGGTGATGATAATAATAATAATAACAATACCTTTATTGTTAATAGTGACAAGATGTCACATTCTCTTAGTAAAATAGAAGAGATTCCAATGGAATTTACAAATTATACGCCATATCTTAACAAGTTGTTTACAGCTAAAATGTTATTCAATAATTCTACAGATCAATCACAACGTCAACAAAATTTCCCTGTTAATGGTGATCTATCAAATTACACAGGGAATACAGATCATGCTTCTGATCATAACTCATATATAAATCGTACTGCAGACTTGAACTGTGTTTCCTCTGGATTTTCAGGTATGGTGAATACCATTGCGACTAGTAATTCTATTGCTACTGTTGCTACTACTAATACTAATAATGTTGAACCTTGTATTAGTAGTAATAATAGACTCACTAGTACTGACAATCAGAATTATAGTTCTTTCATCATAGATTATGAGAAATTCCAGCCAAATGATAATAAACTTCTCTCTGAGGTGGGAAAGAAATTAAATGGTCTAGAGGATATCAATAATCCGTATAGTCTAAAAATGCCAGGGAATAATGCATCCTTCCCAGTATCAGTATCATCACCTCCATCTGTACCTCCTATACTGTCCTGTGAAAACAGCATAACTCATTCCGTTGAAGAGAATTTATCTGGTAAACTGAAAGCTTCACATCTGTTAGTAAATGAAATTAAAAATCCAAACATTACAGTTTCATGTAATAACACTGTGTTATCTACAACAATAACAGCAACAACAACACCTTCAACAGCAAATGTTTATTCACAAATTTTGAATTCACCACATCATAGACAACAATCATATTTACGAACAAATCATCATGAAATGTTAAGTAGTCATCAACATCATCAACGGTTTCTTACTCAAAGTAATTGTCCAACTAGCAATAATAATAATAACAATAATAATCCTTATCCATTTTCAAGAGACTTACCACAACCACCATCTTGGCGTAGACCCAATCATCGTCCTGGTCATTTTCATTCCCACCCTCCAGTTTATTTACCTAATGGACATTTAAGACCTGTAAATCAACACGGTCCAGGTTATATGGGAAGTTCACATCAACACGCGTAAGCAATAATAATGCTTATCATTTCTTTGCATTCTTTATGATAAAGTTATCTAATAATTTCAGTGAATATATTTTGTCGGAAACTGAAGCCCACTGAATACCAAAGAGCAAGTTACAGGTGTTTCGTTCAAGTTTAGGACTGTTCAGTTCACTCATAAAGCTGATCTAACTTGCTCGCTCCGTAATTTTTAGGACTTAGGGTCATAGGTGTGTATTGCTCAAGAGATTGGAACCAGGACCAAAACACCTGTCTCTGTGTGATTTCATTTCGTGACGAGAACTACGTTGAAATTAATCAAAATCCATGCTTAAAACAAAAGTTGTAGTAAAAACAAATACCACTGACCTCAATAAAGCTACTCCTGAAGTTAGTATTCTCAGAATGTTTTCAAATACTAGAGGTAGTTCTGTAGAGTATCTACATAAACATACTTATTCACAATAGAAACATTCAGACAAAACTCAAGTTGGAATTTTTTTTTAAAGGCAGTAACCAAATTATTAAACATATCATTCACCTGTGGTGTGAAAGTGATTTCAGTGTACAACTGGAACGCCCCACTGAAAATAACTTTTCAAATTTGAAAAAATGTCCTTAATGATGGTCAGATAGTGGAATAAAAACACTAATCGCAATAGAATTGGAATCAAAAAACCTTGATGAAGAGTCACAAACTAGGACGAAACAGCTGTCCAGTACTCCTAGCTGCTTTTCCAGTGGTTCTCTAACTGATGTCAGCTCATGATGAAATCCTTCAGCCACTAATCACACAAAATCTCTACAAAACCAATACTTGAAAACCTTGGATCACTAATTCAGTATTCCATATTGAGTTTACCACTTCATTTTTAATGAAGTTAGGTAACATGACACTAAGATGCACCTGAAATTGAGCTGAGTAAGTTGGAAGCAGTCGAGAGGAAACCCCCGAGCTAAGGATATCGTACCGCTTCAGTAGAACTAGTATCTCTTCTGAGATTCAAGCCCACATCATGCAGCAATGCAGTCGCAGATATTGTGAACAAGTTATTCAGACTGATGATTAAGCTCTTGTAGGGCTATGATGGGGTAAAAACTGTCATTTGTGCAGTCCTTGGTGTCCTGATTTTGATTGGGCTTTATCAGTGAAGTTTATGAAGTGGTCAGCGTGTTGGGGGGCTATCCATTTGAAACAGTGTTAGATAGTTGACTGGTAGACGGTGACTAGCAGTGGGATCCAAGAGGTGGCTCTTGTGACCCAGGTGGTCTAATGGAAAACGCTTTGGCGTTTGAAACTATGCGCACTGGGTTCCAGCATATATGGGAACATCATCATTCACTTCGGAATACATGTACATCCAGCAGAGACGAGCCCTAAATGGGATGAAATGCGTATTCTGGATTCCATTGCTAGTCACCATCCACCAATTAACTTCTAATTACACGTTCAGACATCTATCTGCACAAGAAGCCGATGTGTTAACCTGAGACCGAGCACTTCGGTCCAATCAATCGATCAATCAATTGATGGGAAAATCTAAAATTGAATTAAAGTGTTCATATAAAATAAATAAACTGGTGTTTTAAAGGCCTACACTTTCAGATCATAACAACTTTATCTTTGATCTTTAGATTCCCATATGGTTTGGATGGTACAAGAAGAAAGAATGCTACAAGAGAAAGTACTACAACACTGAAAGTTTGGTTACAAGAACATATGAAAAATCCTTATCCTACTAAAGGGGAAAAAATAATGCTTGCAATCATCACGAAAATGACGTTAACTCAAGTGAGTTGAATTTTCAATGAGAATAGAAAACAATTTTAGCTTTTATGTTCTTCCTTGCAGACAACTGATTCATTTCAAGTTTGATGATGGAGTGACTTCGGTAAGGTGACCATTGAAGATTAGGAAGCACTGCAAAGCTATTTCGATCCGGTTTTGGATACCTCAGAGGTATATACCCACGGTCTTGCCAGGGATCGAACTCAAGATCTATAGGTTCAAGGCGTATATCATGATTAAGCAAAAGCTAAAATAAATGAGTCATTGAATTCTGTCTCAATTTTTCGGTGGTCAGGAGGCTCGCCTTGTAACCTGCAATCTTGAGTTCTGACCCAAATGGGATCATGGATGCGTGGACTAAACGGTCACAAAATACTCAACACCAACTTTATTGTCTGATAGGATGAAAATCTTCATGGGTGAAATATCTACCTAGTTTGAGAACCTTCACCATAAGTGCGTTATTGGTGCAGAAGTAGAATGCTCGCCAGCCATCCAGGTGGTCTGGGTTTCTATCCCTGCCGATGCATTCCCAAACCTTGCTTATCTGTTAATAAGTCAGGCAAAGAGTTAAGGTTGCGTATGAGACTAGGAATCCTACCTCGTAAAAATAAAACCACTGCTACCAAAACTTCAAAGCTCTACCTTGAAACCCTATGTTCCACTAAGAACGCAAGACAAGCTTTCATTACTCTTAAGTCTGTGTGGAGGTCAGAATCAAAAATAACATTCGGATCTTCAACTCCAATATGAAGTCAGTGCTACTATACGGATCAGAGACTCGGCCAGCGCGTCATAAAGAGCATCTCAAACAAACTACAGACCTTCATTAACAATTGTCTTCGCTCAATACCACTCAAGATCAGATGGCCAGCCAGAAAAGATCACCAACAGGGATCTCTAGCAGTGAGCGAATCAACCTAGCAGGAACCGACTGGGAAACAAATAGGCAGGAAGAAATGGAGATGGATTGGCTGGCCATACTCTGAGGAAGCAAACCATCAAGTGAGTGACATCACTAGACAAGCCATTGCTCGAGTGGAACCCGACAGAAAGGGAAACGGCGAGTTGGTCGTCAGTGCAAGTGTGACTTGGAGGACGTCATGTGAAGAGGAAATGAAAGTGTGGGCAGACTTGGAACGGGATGAAAACTTTGGCAGAAAACCGAAGGCAATGGAGGTGCGCAGCTGAAGCCCTATGTTCCTCTAGGAATTAAAGGATATAATAACAATAATAATATGAGTGATATCACACGCCAAGTAGGTAGTCGAGTAAAAACCAAATGGGAAAAGACAAGTTGGGGATAATTCTGACGATGACATTGAGGAGATTGTGTTCATGGAAAATGATAGTTAGCAAATGTAGAACTAGTAGAAAAAAAACTTCAGAGGACAATATGAAATGAAGCCCTGTGTTTCAGTGGGTGCGCAAAAGAATGATAATGATGATAATAATCACCGTGATTGGTAATCTCTAGAAATGTTCTTCTATTAATTCCTGATAATTGTCAAATGGAACCGCCCTATGATTTGACTTTTAGTGATGTAACCAGATTATCTCCACTCAATACTGTACATAATTGGATTTTTTGCGAAGGCAGGAAGGTGGATGGTTAAGTTTGTTCCTGAAAGTAAACTGCTGTGCATCTCCAGATTCCATCTTCTTTTTAAAGTCTACTTTTATTTGCGAATTTTTTCTCATTTTCATAGTTATTAACTGAGTCACTCTCTCATGCATATCCTTTTCCTTTCTATAGGTATCTACATGGTTTGCCAATGCTAGAAGACGTTTGAAAAAGGAGAATAAAATGATTTGGCCACCAAAATCAACTGGTAGTGGAAGTATGGAGCAGAAGAGTCCAACAAATCCGAATTCATCAAATGAATCAGGTATAAATTGTACTAATACTATAAAATCAACAGATTCATTGAAAATGATTCATAGCCACGAGAACACCGAAGAAAAAAATCGTCACCGATTCGAGACAGATGACAGAGATGGATATGATGATAGGCGAACGACTTCTGTTGAAGACAATGAGACAAACGATGATCAACTGACAAATGAGGATGATCATGATAATGAAGATGATGATGATGCTGAAAATGGTGACTTTGATGAAGATGACGCAGAGGAGCAGGGAGGCGAGGAGGGCGAGGAAGCCATTGGAAATGATATCGGCGATTCATTGTATAGGCGTAAGGAATTTGAACAAAATGATCTAAGCTTATCTCAGTATAATCATCTACCTCACTCATCTTTCATCTCTCATGTTCACAAAGATATCTCATCTTATGAACAACAAACAAAAAACTATTCAAATATTTTCTTAAACAGTTTAAGCTCTGATTTTTCAGAAAATTCTGGAAAAATATATGACCAATTCAGATCTGAAGACTTGTCATTTAATCATGTTAGCAATCAGCTGAATTCACACCTTACCTCTTCTTCACAAACCTTCTCACAATACAACAATTTAGCGAATAATCAATTCACTGGTATTAGTCATATTCCTCAGACAAATATCAGTCAAACGCCAAGTTATTTTAATTCAATGCATGATTTTTGCACAGGTAACGAATACTTTCCTTTTAAAACAGATAACCTCACTGCTCCGACTACTACTACTTCTGTCAGTAACGACGACAGAACAGTGAACTCTCAATTTCATAAATCTACTACCTCAATGTTATATCCTACAAGTCGAACTCATTCAGATGGAGGTGATGTTGTAATGAAATCGTTTAATTCATCAAATAGTGGTTTTGATGTAGCACTGAATTCTTCAATGAAACAGCGTGAAGTATCCAACTCACCTGTTCAGTATTTAAATACTCTACATTCAGATTGTTCCAATAATGCGAATAATGCTATCACTCAACGCTCCAACTTCTATTCACCGCATAGCAGTAGTACATCACTCTCTGATCAGCACCAGAATCATCAGCATCATGAACATCCGGATAATTATACACCATCTACAGATTGCGCAACATTTTTGAGAACAAAGCCGTTTATTGATAATATCATGTTGAATACAAACTATTTACAATCGAACTTTTGTTAAATACTTTATACTTTCAGCAGTAATTAAGTCAGTAAGTATATATGCTTACAAATATACAGCAAGGAGGTGAGAGGTAGGGGAACAAATATGTTGTTACCTAACAAGGCAGAAATCTTCTTTGTTGATTATGATACACTGATATTTGTGTTTCTTGTATTTGTATTTCCTCCTTATATTAATATTACTATATTATGACCTAGTTAATCTTTAACTGGATGTATTTTGTAAAATTACTAGAAGTTTGACAAGTCAATTTACGCTGAATTTTGCACATTTAAACAACGACAACAACAACAACAAGAATAATAACAACAATAATGTTCAAGTGTTAAATAGTTAAACTATATGCATGATAAATGGATAGATGCATGCAGATTTTGTATAAATTTAGTTTTACCGCGTAATTATTCTTATTATTATTATTTAAACTCTGTTCAATTGTCAATAATATCTATAATACTTGTTAACTTTATTATGAGTAATAAATCGCCAATATATATATAATACCAGTATAAGACTGAAAAAATATACCTTATAAAAGCTGAATTTGTTTCTGCTATAAATATTTTTATTCAAAAAACCGAAAGCTATGTGAACATCATGGATTTGAAGGTATTGTAACAAGCAAAACCGATTCGTTGTAGTCTGAACACATACACACACACAGAATCGATCTCTGAGTCCTAATGTATAGCTGACCCAACACTTCTTCGAGTCACATGCACAGTTACACAAAACGATCCAATGACAGCTAGAAGGCGATTATTCGTAGATAGATCTTTGTGTGATTTTATTCAGTGACAATACCAACGACAAAAAAAAGTAATAAATTGCCTCAACAGTGTCATTTGGCTGCTGTACAGGCTATATACATGATATTCGAATACTAAAATAGTGCTGTAGAAACAGCTGTCCGGTACTTCCAGCTGCTCATGATGAAATCCTCCAACTACCAATCAAACAAAATCCTTACATAACCAATACTTGAAAATTGATCTAATGCTCATTAGTGACTGACCCTATTCACGCAGTCATCTGGGCTTCTAATGCAAAGCCGTGACCAGTAAGATAAAACAGGTTGAAGGTGAGGCAATAACTCATCGAATAAAACCTTGTGAAGTGGTTGCGCTATGTTATAAATTGGCAGAAGTTAGAATTCATAGGCTAGGCATTGGATTGGGTCCCAGTGGCGTAGTGGTCTACAAACTCTCTTGCCTTGCAACCAAAAGGTAGTGGGTTCAAACCCTGGAGGTTGGGTACGTATTGTGAAGAGTTTCAAACTAGGCCGAAACACCTGTCAAATACTCTCTGGTAAGTTTTCCAAAGGTTCTATAACTGATGTCAGCTTATGATGAAATTCTCCAACCACCAATCAAACAAAATCCCTACAAAATCAATACTAGAAAAAAAATAGTTAACCGAAATCCAACTATTGTAAAAAGTATCTCAGAATCCAGTAGAATATTTTCAATAAGGTGGGATTCAAAACTCTGTCCTCAAGAACAATGCATCAAACTATTCTTCAACAGAGTCATAATGAAGATAAAATGACCCAGTTGGTCAGAAAGAATAAGCAACAAGAAACTCTATACTGGAATAAATCAACCAAGAGTCTACTACTCGACAAATATGTAGGCGAAAATGGAGATGGGTGTGTCGGGCATACATTGACGACGCTGTCGAATGACATCATGCTCGAGTGGAATCTAAATGGGAAGCCGACGAAATGGACGTCACTTCAAGGATGACATGGAGTAGATCGTGTGCAAAGGGGGAGTTGAGAAATTATGGGCAATCGTGGAACCGGCTGAAGAGGACAGCAGAAAATAGAACAATGGGGAGATTCGTTGTTGAATCCCCCCCCTATGTTTCACCCTGAACCAAACGGAATAATATTAAATTATAATAATAACTCTAATCCATTTGGGGACTGGAGATTTATATTCAGATATCCGTTCATGTCGAAATCTACGATGAAATCAACCAGTGCAGAACACACTGAAGTACTAATTTTTTTACTGAATAATGAATGATGAAATCCTTTAACCAATCAGATCCTTGGAAACGAATGATACAATTATTACAGTAGGAATATGACTGAATTTCCATCGGCTAAGAATGTTGCAGACAGATACTGCTAAGAAAACATTTCAAAACTGAAGTATAAATCTTCATGGCATATTATTATCCTCATGCGTGTAAAATACATTGGGTTTTTTTTATTCCTTCAAGTTCTCAGTGGAACATAGGGCTTCAAGCTAGAGGCTTGAAGTTTCTGTAGCAGTAGTGATTGCTTTCACAGGATAGGGTTACTAGCCTCATGCCCAGCCTTTCCTCTTTACCAGCTTTATTACTGGCTTAGGGAGATTTGCGAGTGCGTCAGCCGGAGGACGAACCCCGGACCATGTGCATGGTCGACGAGCGCCCTAACCGCTGTGCCACCGATGCACACACATTAGAGATGCACACTGGATATTTTACATCATATTCGAATAATGTGAAAATCATCAAGCTAAATTTTACGAATGAAAATGAATAAAACTGACTAACTACTTGCCATCAGTATACCGTTAAAAAGACTACTTATTTCATATATTTGACAGTTTTAGCTAGGGGATGGTGGCGGGTTGGGTTGGGTTAAAAAACATTTTTTGCCTTGCTGACTTACCTTTTTCTCATTTTCTTCACCCTCCCAATATTTTACAAATGAGTTATTCCAGTCTTAGGTGACCTCACAGTCGCTCCTTCTTCAACTGCTCTTTAGTCATTTTGACATCTATATAAATCTGAAAATTCTAATCACAACAACTAAGATGTTATCAAAAGAAAATTGAACTGAAAGAAACTGCCGTTCCTAAGCATGAGTTAGACGCTAGTGTAGATAGAATGACAGAATAAGTGTTTGACCACTCCCACTTTCTGTACATCTGTCTCTCTCTCTCTCTTCCTCTCTCAACTCAATATATATTCAAATTTAAAAAAAAGAACTTTCAAGGTATAAAGGGGATTGGAAATAAACTGCCTATTTTATGACAGTGTTAATCAGTTTCTTTATTTAACGTTCTAAAACAGTCGGTAAATTATAACAATTGTGAAAGTGATTGTACAATGAATGAATCAAGTAGGTTTCCATGATGCTAATTTCTTAGGCCTTTAGAAATAAAAGATAAATATCAAACTTGTCAAGTTCACTTCATTCTTCCACCATTTGTTGCTAATCACTGAGGAATAAATGTGAAGATGACAGCAGTCCAGTTTTTAAAAAGTATTCACAGCTCAGTTATCATCAATACCAGAATTATCCAGGCATAAATATTAGTAAATAAATAAATAAATAAAAATGGACAAGTAGAAGATGGAATTTGCAATTATTAGTGTTCTCTGAGCTGGTTGGTTTAGTTGCGGAACTTTCGTTGTCTTTCTGGACGGCATCTTCAGCGCAGTATTCAGCATAAAGTTATATGATTTAAAAATCTCCATGAATGATGATACAATTGCGTCTCCTGGTGACCAACCATCTTCACATATGTATTGACCGTTTTCTATTGATTGGGATTTTAAACTTTCCGGTCATCTGACTTGCTTTTTATTAGTTGATATATTTCATCTATATTAACGTGTTTATTAATGGCGTTTTCGTTTGAGCACCAGGCTTCTAGGAATTCCCTGGCACATTTGGTGTTTCCTCTGTTTGAGATTTTGACATTATCCCAATCAAATTGATGTCCATAATTATCGGTATGCATTGATGCTGAAGAATTTATATCATGTCTTTTCACGGCTGACTTGTGTTCTTGGATTCTTATTCGAAGGGGGCGCGCACTTTGGCCGATGTAATGCATGTTGCAGTTCATACAATTTATTTTGTAAATGGTGTTAATTTTATCTCCTTTTTCTATCGGATCTTTTGGTTTGCATAAGATCGAATTAAAAGATTCGGCTGGTTTGTGTGCTACATCTATATCAAATGGTTTCATTATTCTAGCCGTTATTTCAGAGATATTTCTGATGTATGGTAGGATGAATTTCTTTTTGGTCTTTGGTGATGGTTCTTTGTTGGTGCTTTGATTCGACTTTAAACACTTTTTGAAATCTTATGCAAACCAAAAGATCCGATAGAAAAAGGAGATAAAATTAACACCATTTACAAAATAAATTGTATGAACTGCAACATGCATTACATCGGCCAAAGTGCGCGCCCCCTTCGAATAAGAATCCAAGAACACAAGTCAGCCGTGAAAAGACATGATATAAATTCTTCAGCATCAATGCATACCGATAATTATGGACATCAATTTGATTGGGATAATGTCAAAATCTCAAACAGAGGAAACACCAAATGTGCCAGGGAATTCCTAGAAGCCTGGTGCTCAAACGAAAACGCCATTAATAAACACGTTAATATAGATGAAATATATCAACTAATAAAAAGCAAGTCAGATGACCGGAAAGTTTAAAATCCCAATCAATAGAAAACGGTCAATACATATGTGAAGATGGTTGGTCACCAGGAGACGCAATTGTATCATCATTCATGGAGATTTTTAAATCATATAACTTTATGCTGAATACTGCGCTGAAGATGCCGTCCAGAAAGACAACGAAAGTTCCGCAACTAAACCAACCAGCTCAGAGAACACTATTAATTGCAAATCATCCACCTGAGTTACAAATCTTTTCTATTATTTCAGAAGATGGAATTGTTATTTATTTGATAGCTAGCTGTCAACAGTGAAATCAATGACTTGTGTTTCGTTCACTTCTTTTGGCTCGTCAACTGAACATACTTGCATCAATTGCGAATGATGATAATGCTCCCTAGCAAGACTTCACCTTAGTCAACTACACTGGTTTTAAACTCTAGAGTATCCATACTGTAAGCCATCATATGAAGACAATTAGGCGACATAAAAATACATAAATGCGACTCTTTTTTTTAAAAAGGCTTTTGATGAAATGTTTACGAGAGACTGGCGCCAGATACAGGACATCTCAAATATCCGTACACAGTTTGTGAGTAGACAACAGGTGTCTAACGTTTGTATGTAGATGTAAATAAAATAGACCAAGTTGGGGAATATTCAATGATGATATATGCTGTTAGTTTGTATGAATATTTGGAAACTGGTCAGGCCAATTATCATTGCTTGCTAGCTGAGAGAGAAGGGATTTAAACACACCGAATAGCTGGTTTGAATAGCTCTGACCTGAGTCATTTCAGATACACCACTGACGAGATTAGTAACAGACAGAGAAGCAAAACTGCTATCCGCTGTGTATATATTACTTCAGTCTGACTGGTAAGATATGTTGACTGAATTGAGTGATTTTCAGAAACTCATATTAGAAATGCAATTCATGCATGATTTTTCGAATAATTTATATCGATGAGAGATAAATAATCGCTGATGGATTTTGTTAGAACAGGTACTCTTAATTAGGACCAATCCACCTGATAACAATCATCATAAACAGTGGTTGGCGGCTGATAGGAAGTAGCAGAAAGGCCTATATATGGGTTTCTTGTTAATT